CCCCCCCCCAAACTTTTCCCCCAAGAGCCAAAGGTAGAAGAACAGACCAATTTACTGAGTGCTTTTTGTAGACCTCCAGTCTTTGAAAAGCTGGATTTTTTTCTTGGTGCCACAAGCCAGATTTGTTTTTTAACAATAAAGGCAGGCAGAGTTCAGACTTGTGGGAATCGATGGGGCTTTGCAAACTGGCCTGGGGGTAGAGTTGGGGTGGGGCAGCTGCATGCCAGCCACCCCAACTCAGCCCCGACACTGTGTTGATGCTGCGCGCCCGTCTGCACAGCATATGGTGTAAGAATGCCCTCCTGGCGCAGCATGTACACACACTGCACCAAAAGGGCATAGAAGAGCTGCAGCGCCAGCTCTTAGGGCTGCCTTTTGCTGCCCCTAAAAGGAGTGGGGGTGGCAAAAGGGAAGATTGGGGCCATGGCATGTGGTTGCCACAGCCCTGATCTGCTGCCCCTTTAGGCGGGTCTGTAAAGGCAGAATGTTTTTAGCAACTGCCTCAAGCTACAAAATAGCATAACTGGGGTAACATCATTGATTTTTGCTATTACCTTCCTCTGAGGCTGAGAGAGTGTGCCTTGGGTTTCCCCCCAGGTGGAAGGTGGAAGTCCTGCCACCAGAAGTCCTGCCACCAGGAAGTAGAAGTCCTGCCCCCGCCAAAAGAAAAAATCCTTCCCCTGGCACTTGGTGATGCCCACTGTGGGAGTGACACTGAGTTTGGGACCTCAGGGCCTTTGCAGATGGCTAGAAATAGTGCAAATTGAGTCCACTTTAACTGCCCTGGCTCAGTGGTAAGGAATCATGGGAATTGTATTTTTTTCTGAGACATTGAGCCTTCTCTATCAGAGAGCTCTGGTGCCACAATAAACTATAGTTCCCATGATTCCCTAGCACTGAGCCAGAGCAGTTAAAGTGGACTCAATTTGCACTATTTCTAGCAGTCTGCAAAGGCCCTCAGTCTCTAAAAGGTTCGCCATCACTGTTATAGGCCAATTTGGGAAGCTCCCACAGACTTATTTCCATTCATGGGCTGGATGTTCCTTAACTCTGGAACAGAGGGGGGTAGTGAACTCTGTTTTGGAGCAAAGCTTTGAGCATAATAGTGCCACCCTGATGCTGCACTGATGCTACCCACCCAGAGCCTGCATGTCAGTACAGTGCTGATCTTGAAGTCACTGTTTTCTATTCTGTCAAGTGCTTTTGCAGCAGAGCAGATGTCCTCCTCTGAAATACTGTACAAGTTGTCACTGACCACAACAAAGATTAATTCAAAGAAAATACTTATGCTGAAGCTTGTTGTTAATAAATTCCTGGAATTTCTTTCCATCCTGTCTGCTCTTATTTGTATCTTGAATCCTACAAACGCTAAAGTAATTTATTTGCCTGTTGGGAAAATTTTATTCATTTCAACTTGCCCAGATTGTGATACCTGACAGAAGATAACTGTAGTTCATTGTTATGTTAGCTCATTAAAATTTATGGACTAAAACCTGTACTGCTGACTTTAGATTAAGAAGAAAGTATACATTTTGTGATGACATGAAAGCTTTGAAATAAAGGAAGAAATGCAGTGAGAGCATATATATATGTTTTTAAAATGGTTTAATATTATTAAAGAAATAAAATGCCAAGACAATTGTATGTTTGTGTGTGTGTTTATAATTCTAAAAGTA